ATTCTATTTGCAATCCAGTGGGATTTTCACTCTTGATATCATTAACTCTTCATATTTAAATTTTTATCCTCGTTTAGTAGCCATCTGTTGTCCTTTACATGTCAAAAAAATCTGAATTTTCTGTTCTTTTGAGGAAATTGGAATAGAAGACATTATAAACAAAAATGAATTTCATTAAAGTTTTGATGTTCTAAAATTTAAAATATCTCAGCCTATTCAGAAGGCATCCTTTACTTGATTTCATTCATATTGGTTGTTATGGTTAATATTTAGTGTCAACCTAATTGGATTGAAGGATGCAAAGTATTGTTTCTGGGTGTGTCTGTAAGGGTGTTGCCAAAAGAGATTAACATTTCAGTCAGTGCCCTGGGAGAAGAAGACCCACCTTCAATCTGGGTGGGTGCCATCTAATCAGCTGTCAGGACAGCTAGGATAAAAGCAGCCAGAAGAACATAGAAGACCTAGACTGGCCGAGTCTTCCAGCCTGCATCTTTCTCCCGTGCTGGATGCTTCCTGCACTTAAATATGGGACTCAAAGTTCTTCAGCTTTTGGACTCTTGGACTTACACCAGTGGTTTGCCAGGGGCTCTCAGGCCTTCAGCCACAGACTGAAAGCCATACTGTGAGCTTCCCTACTTTGGAGGTTTGGGGACTTGGACTGGCTTTCTTGCTCCTCAGACAGCCTATTGTGGGACTTCACCTGGCAATCTTGTGAGTCAATATTCCTCAATAAACTCCCTTTCATATATACACTTATCCTATGAGTTCCTCTAGAGAACCTGACTAATACATTGGTTTTGCAATAAGTATTACTAACCATCTACTCTCTGCCAAGAATTGTGCTTAGTGATGCAGGGAGATCCACACCCACATGATGCAGTCTCCTCCATCTTCAGAGCACTGAGAAGTCGGGTAAAGCTATAAATGCCTACAGCACTGATAGTAAATGCTGAGGACTTAAAAAGCTACATATCAGAAGACTAACTGCAATATAAATCAGTGAGGGTTTCACGGATGTCTAAACTAGTTTGCGAAGAACTGTAGGATATTGACTGCAGAGAAGGCAAATGCAGACAGAAGGAGGCAGAACGGCACGCAGCATATTCAGGAAGGGTGGATAACTCTTGGGGTGGTTGTAAAACAATATGAAACAATATGCCATCAGTCAGAAGGCTGACAGAAAGTAAGCTGATGCCAGATTATAGAAGTTTAAAGGGAATATTCAAGATTTTGGAACTTAGCCTGTGATGCATTACGGTATGAGAAAATTAACAGTTTTGCCTTAAGATGAAGGCTGTGTACAAAATAAAGGAAAGGGTGAACATAGAATTGATGGGATATTGATGGGAGACAAGTTAGGAGGGTCAAAGCAGAGGAGGAAATCAAAGATGACTCTCAAGTTGAGAGCCTGATTAACCGGGTGGATAATGAATCCTTACGCAGCAAAAAGGAAGTTGGAGGACAGAGCTCTTCTGGGAAAGATGTCACACTAGACTCGAGTTAAAAATGCCAGTGGGAGAAACCAGTGGAAATGCAGAGCAGGCAAGTACAAAAATGGACCTCTTGCTTAGAAGAGGGCTGCTAAGTATTTGGGAAATGGCTAAAGCCATAGAGTGGGAGTTGGAGGTAAGGGTGATAGAAATCAAGTATGGCAAGAGAAAGGTGGAGAGCTAAACATCATGCAGGGCTAGCATTGCCCAGTTTACTCACATAGCTTCTCAAATGCCCATAATAGAGAGAATGGCTAACAGTGTCAAATGTTACACAAAAAGATAGATCAAGGAATTTCTGTTTGCCTTTGTGATGAAAGTCAAGATTGAACAAGTCTATGTAGATAGTCTTTTGTGTTCTTGGGTCAAGTGCAGATTTGGCAGTCAACTAGACCGTCTAACAAAGCCAGAAATCAAACTGGATAACTCCTATCTCCCCAGATCCACCTGGACTCTGAATTATTTATGTGGATTCCTAGAATTGACCATATTGCTTATAATTCCGTGTCTTCTAGCTAAACTCTAAGCTCCTTAAGGGTAGTGCTTTTGTCTTACAAGCTCTTGGTCCTTAAAAGAAACTTAATACTTTTTAAATATAGTCGTTGAATGAAAACTAGCCCCAACTGTGTACAGATACTCAACCATTTGCAGGAGCAATTAGGAATAAAAGAAGAGAGCCAAGGATTTAGCATAATGTGTGTTCTAGGGCCAGTATAGTGCTAAAAAAGGAAGAATTAGGAGTGATAGATTACTTAGAGCCTTTGAGTGTAACAGTGAGTCAGTCTTCCCGTTGCTACCACAGAGACATGCTCTGTGGATTAATTAACTATTATTCTCAATTTACAAATGAGTTCATAGAGGCAAAGAGGTTAAGTCACTTGTAGAAGATCATAATGTGTCAGCAGAAGATCAAAGCCTGAAGGAACAGGCTTACCACTTAGAGCTCCATGTCTGTAACCTAATAGAGAGAGAGGTTCTGAACTTCTGTAAAACGGTGACTTCACTTCTTAGATGATGAGTTGTTAAAGTTCTCTCTGAGGTTAGTTTTACATGAGCAACTCAGAGAAAACATGCACTTTTAATTGACAAAGAATTGTAACTGCTGCTATTATCTCTTTAAAAATCATGTGTGGCCTTCCTTATTAATGACAAAGTGGGAATTATTCTTGGTGTAAAGAGAAAACGTATTCTCCCTATTTCCATTTCCACCTAGGAAATAAACATTCACTGCATCGTGAACATGGAACGTATATATTTACCTGCGTTTTATCCAGTGCTTTTGAAATGATTGGTTGTGTCCACTTGTAAAAGGTTTTTTAGATACTGGTTTAAAAGGTTCATTTCTCGATTCATAAATATGAAGAAGTTGAAGCACAGCTACCTGAGAGGCTTCCTTTTTGACCTCACTGCAATCTTAAAACAGGGCACAGAAGAGTTAACAGGAGGCCCAGACAGTCCCCTGCTGATCCCATAATGAGTGGGAGCTGCAGCTGAATGTCAATAGCTCTTGTGAACTTGGGTAACCCAGCTGAGCCCTCTGCTTGCCAGAGCTGGAGGAGGTAATCAGCTTGACCTCTGTGACCTTCCTGAGGCTGTGTTCTGTCCTGCACGGAGAAGCCTCTTTGCATATGACTCCCACATCCTGCTCAGTCGAAACCCTTTTAGGGGAACTAGACCTGAGTCAGCCGCAAGAGGGAACATAATATAAATTAGTCAATGCTGGTTATAGGTTGTACAATATAGTAGGTGCTTAAAAAAAAATTAATGGGATCACATCCTGGAAACCTCAAAAAGATTTCCAGGAACCACTATGACATCTGCCCTTCCAGTGTTATTAAAATAAATTGAAGGTTATATAACAATTCTGTCAGCGCTTCACATTTCTTTGTGGAGTTGTGTTTCATCAAATGCTTTCACCTTTCTGGGTTTGGTAAATTGATTTTCTTTTGTTTCATTGTTTACTTGTCACTGTTTTCATTGCATAGTCCCAAGGATGTCATATACACAATGTGTACATTATAGATTAAGAGGATATTTTGTAATATTTTCATTGAGTTCCTAAATAGCATTTCATTCTTATTCTGTGCAATGAAAGAAACTTGATCAATACATTAAACTCCTTTCATTCTGTGTATGTCTAAATATATTGTTATTAAAAAGATGTTATTATTCATAAGCTGAGAGAATGCATGCTAATTGTGCCTTAAACTGCATAATTTATATAACCATGTAGAGTACAGCACAACAGTGCCTCCCATAAAAGTAAAAGTGATTTGTACAATAAAAATTAACCAATGGCAGACTGTGAACATCTATAACTAAGTCCCATAACAAATACAGAGTTTATATTTTCAAGAAAATGGGGCTAATCTGTGACAATAAGATTCAGTTGTTTTCAACTCATAGTGATGCTAAAGTGCTTTAACTCAAATGCACATTATTCTATCAAGCAACTAGAGGCTTCATTTTTCCCCTAAAGCAAATTTACCCCCAAGTATATTTGTTATGCATGCACAGCTTTTAGCACTGAGGAATCTTTGATCATGACTAATGGATTTTGCCTGGAAAAAACTTTATAGTGTGTAATTTGCTTAGTTATTGTAATAATAATAATAATAATAATTTTTAAACCCTTATTAAATAATTGCTCTACAAAAGCTGAATTCCTTACCAAATGCCATCAGCCACCATCATTACTTTTTGGGTTAAAGGGACAAAAAAAAAAATGCAGCTTCGGTGTGGCCTAAGGAAATAAGCAAGGTTGGAAATCATAACCTGTGTTCAAATACTATGAAACACAGTGTTTTTTGTTCTTTAAACAGGCACATACAGTTGGACAATGGTGAGGTGGGGGAAGAAAGAGCCTGCTATCAATTCTACGTTAAGTTTAATATTATACTCTCAGCCCTAAGAGAAACAACACAGTTATGAACCCTAAGATGAGCTGAGACAACAGATGGTCAGAATTACTTGAGAAAGATGACACCTTAAATTTTAGCATAATTCTCTCTCTTTCTCTCTCCCTCTCTCTCTCTCTCTCTCTCACACACACACACACACACACACGCACACACACACTTTTCTGTTTCTGATCAAGCATCTTGTAACTGAGAGCTTGAACATCTCAGAACAAATATCTTAAGAGTACAATTCCCAAAGGAGGCTGATTTTTCAAAACACATGCCATGTGCCCAGGGAAACCATGTATCAAGAGTTGATTCTGACAAGCCCTCTAAACTAATAAAATATATTTCCTTTGCTGGTTTTAAAAGCCCATTAAGATCGCATGATAACTAGTTATTTTAACAAAGTCTAAATTTATATATAGAATTAGCTCTTAGAAAGTGTCACATGCTTGTTTTGCCCCTAAAGCACTCCTCTTTATAAAGATCTCTGGAATTAATTTCTGTAAACAAATGTAGAGAGCAAATCTTTATCTAACCAGATCACATGAGAACAGCACAGAAGAACTTCATGGCTTTGTTTGAAGTGTCTCTTTTTTGCTTCTAGGTCCTGCAACACCACTACCACCCACACTTCCCTGAAGGGAGAAGAGCTTTGTCAAAGGTTTCCTGGTAAATCAAAAGCACTTTGTGGATACGAATAATGTGCGCTTCACCTGAATGAGACCTAGTTATGTATGTGGTGCCCTCCAAAACGAGTTCTTGCTGGCTCCAGTCAACCAAATGCTTTAAATCCTAAATGAATGAGGAGGTTTGAGAAACTGCTATAGTAACTAGGTTGAGTTAAACAAATACACCCAAGTTTTGCATGGTTCTGTATTCCTCCAAACTAAATAAAATTTGCACAGCTTAGCTGCTCAGATATACTTTTGGGGCTATCCTTTTGAGGTCACAAAATGACAACGGTGCTATGTGCTCTGCGCTGTGAATACTGTGATAACTCTATGATCCAACAGACATTTTCAGGGGTGTTATGATTCTGTGTCAGACCCTGTGAAAAGTCAAGGGAAAGAAAGACAATGAACCAACTTCTTAAAAGTTTTCCACGGCAGCAGGAGAAGATAAGTACAATTTTACATAAGAAAATGTACTAATATTATAATCGAGGAATGAATCAAGTTCTGAGTACTTAAAGATAGTCAAAGTCTGTTTTATGTGAGCGATTAAGCAGACTTCCCAGCAGAGATGATGTTGAAACCTTCAAAGACTGCATCAAATAGGATCCTAGAGACATTGCAAGCCGGGAGAGGAAACTGCAGGAGGACACAAATCTTGAGCATAGCTCCTGTTATGGGTGCCAGGGCTTATCCTAAGTGAATAAAAGGCCAGAAGTTTGGGCAGCTAATTCTTTAAATGTGTTTATTACGAAAGATTCCAAGCATTAACAAAAGGAAAGAGAATAATAAAACGATCCCTCAAAGGCCTCTTACCTACATTTAACAATTATCAAAATTTGGGGCCCGATATGGTGGCTCACACCTGTAATCCTGCCACTTTGGAAGGCTGAGGCATGTGGATGGCTTGAGCCCAGGAGTTTGAGACCAGCCTAGGCAGCACAGTGAGACCTGGTCTGTATGAAACGTGAAAAAAAAAAAATTAGCCAGACCTGGTGGTGTTTACCTGTGGTCCCAGCTACTCTGGAGGCTGATGTAGGAGGATCATCTGAGCCTGGGAGGTCAAGGCTGCAGTGAGCCATAGTCAAGCCAATGCATTCCAGCCTCTGGGTGACAGAGCAAGGCCCTGTCTCAAAAAAAATCTGGCCCATTTGTTCATCAACCTGTTTTTTTTTTTTTTTCCTTAATTTTTTTAAAAGCATATTGCAGACATCTATTAGTTTACATCTTTTGATTTTGATGTGTATCTCTAAAAGATGAATATTTTGTTATATATCACAATGCCATTATCACAAGCAAAATTAATATTAATTTATTAGATGGTCAGTTATCTAGTAGCAGCTCATATTACATTTTTTCCATTTTTCTCAAAACTGCCTTTAAAGTGGTTTTTTCAATTAGGCCAAGAATTTATAAAGCCCTGCTGCCATCCCATGGAGTTGAGTAACATCTCATAAGGAGGAGGGGCTCCTGGAGGGCTCCTATCATATCTAAGTCCTTATTGAATTGCTTTCTACCTGTCACAGAACGTAGCCCTGATATAACCCAAAATAACTGTTTCCTGAATTGCATTAAACTCAATTGAGTGACAGCTTTTCAGTAGAGTGGTATCTCAGCAGTACTGTTTTTAACACAAATCTAGTGGCTATTGGGTGGATAATGGAAACCATGTTCTAACAAAAAGTCTGTACCCTCAAGGATCTTGTAGACAGTCAACATTACAGGTGTTAAAAGGACCACAAACCATAAACTAGTACTTTGTAGAAAAGAAATTCCCCAGTTTATAGATTTGCTGAAATGAAAGTCTTTGAGCTTTCTGAAATTTGGAAAAGGGCCATGCTTACTCTTTAATATCCGAATAGACTAATAAACAAATAGATTTATATTGAGGATAGATCTTTCAATCAAGCTAACATGTCTCCTCTGATGATTAAATGACTAAAAAATGCTTACTTCAATGTTCTGGGTGAGTTATTAACAAAACTGGGCATTCTCAGAAACTACAAAAATAAACCACTGGAGGAGAAAGAACTCCATCCAGGAAGAATAATATTCACCAACCTTGCAAAGAGTTAGCACTTGACAATTTGTGATGCACGTATGCATTTATTCTATTGTTTGTCATTGTTACTCCAACGGACCAGTGAAATGTATTATTTCAGTGAAATGTATAATATTACAGGCAAGTATTATTATCTACATTGAAAGGTGAAGAAACTGAGGCCCAGGTTAAGCAACTGATGTAATCAAGTTCTCAAAGCTAGTTACTGATGCAGGTCAAGCATCTGGTTACCAGGAACACTAGTGGTTTTGTTTCTTTCTGTTTCCTTGATTTCCATTTTTATTGTTAGCATTTTCTTGTATCCTCATTGTTTTGTGGCACCAAATTGACTGTACAGAAGAAGCTTTAAGGCCGTGAAGTTTCCCCGTCTTTGTGGCTGGGCAGAGTAAACAATCTTCAAGCAGTTTGAAGCACTCACTAGAGATGAAAACCTGGTCTTCATATTTTTTTATAGACTCTTCAGGCTCCATAATTATTTTTGATGATTTCTTCAAGGAAATGAACAGAATTATATTTCTCCCATAGAGTAAATGTCTACTAGTAATTGCAGTTCCAGAATTACTTGAACTATTTTTTTTTTATTTTTTATTGCATTTTAGGTTTTGGGGTACATGTGCAGAACATGCAAGACAGTTGCATAGGTACACACATGGCAGTGTGTTTTGCTTCCTATCTCCCCTTCACCTACATTTGGCATTTCTCCCCAGGCTATCCCTCCCCAACTCCCCCCCACCACCGCTGTCCCTCCCCTTTTCCCCCAATACACCCCAGTGTTTAGTACTCCCCTCCCTGTGTCCATGTGTTCTCATTTTTCATCACCCGCCTATGAGTGAGAATATGTGATATTTCATTTTCTGTTCTTGTGTCAGTTTGCTGAGAACGATGTTCTGCAGATTCATCCATGTCCCTACAAATGACACAAACTCATCATTTCTGATTGCTGCATAACATTCCACGGTGTATATGTGCCACATTTTCCCAATCCAGTCTATCAACAATGGGCATTTGGGTTGATTCCAGGTCTTTGCTTTTGTAAACAGTGCTGCAATGAACATTCTTGTGCATGTGTCCTTATAGGAGAATGATATATAGTCCTTTGGATATACACCCAGTAATGGGATTGCTGGGTCAAATGGAATTTCTATTTCTAAGGCGTTGAGGAATCGCCACACTGTCTTCCACAATGGTTGAACTAATTTACACTCCCACCAACAGTGTAAAAGTGTTCCTTTTTCTCCACATCCTCTCCAGCATCTGTTGTCACCAGATTTTTTAATGACCGCCATTCTAACTGGCGTGAGATGGTATCTCAATGTGGTTTTGATTTGCATCTCTCTGATGACCAGTGATGATGAGCATTTTTTCATATGATTGTTGGCCTCATATATTTCTTCTTTTGTAAAGTGTTTGTTCATATCCTTTGCCCATTTTTGAATGGGCTTGTTTGTTTTTTTCCTGTAAATCTGTTTGAGTTTTTTGTAAATTCTGGATATCAGCCCTTTGTCAGATAGGTAAACTGCAAAAATTTTTTCCCATTCTTTTGGTTGCTGATTCACACTAGAGACTGTTTCTTTTGCTGTGCAGAAGCTGTGGAGTTTCATTAGGTCCCATTTGTCTATTTTGGCTTTTGTTGCCAATGCTTTTGGTATTTTGTTCATGAAGTCCTTGCCTACTCCTATGTCCTAGATGGTTTTGCCTAGATTTTCTTCTAGGGTTTTTATTGTGCCAGGTCTTATGTTTAAGTCTTTAATCTATCTGGAGTTAATTTTAGTGTAAGGTGTCAGGAAGGGGTCCAGTTTCTGCTTTCTGCACATAGCTAGCCAGTTTTCCCAACACCATTTATTAAACAGGGAATCCTTTCCCCATTGCTTGTTTTTGTCAGGTTTATCAAAGATTGTATGGTTGTAGATACGTTGTGTTGCCTCTGATGCCTCTGTTTTGTTCCATTGGTCTATATCTCTGTTTTGGTACCAGTACCATGCTGTTTTGATTACTGTAGCCTTGTAGTATAGTTTGAAATCCGGTAGTGTGATGCCCCCCGCTGTGTTCTTTTTGCTTAGAATTGACTTGGCTATGCGGGCTCTCTTTTGGTTCCATATGAAGTTCATGGTGGTTTTTTCCAGTTCTGTGAAGAAAGTCAATGGTAGCTCGATGGAGATAGCGTTGATTCTGCAAATTACTTTGGGCAGTATAGCCATTTTCACGATATTAATTCTTCCTAACCATGAACATGGAATATTTCTCCATCTGTTTGTGTCCTCTCTGATTTCGTTGAGCAGTGGTTTGTAGTTCTCCTTGAAGAGGTCCCTTATGTTCCTTGTGACTCATATTCCTAGGAATTTTATTCTTTTTGTAGCAATTCTGAATGGCAGTTCGTTCTTGATTTGGCTTTCTTTAAGTCTGTTATTGGTGTAGACGAATGCTTGTGATTTTGCACATTGATTTTATATCCTGAGACTTTGCTGAAGTTGCTTATCAGTTTCAGGAGTTTTTGGGCTGAGGTGATGGGGTCGTCTAGGTATACTATCATGTCATCTGCAAATAGAGACAATTTAGCTTCCACCTTTCCTATTTGAATACCCTTTATTTCTTTTTCTTGCCTGATTGCTCTGGCTAGAACTTCTAGTACTATATTGAATAGGAGTGGTGAAAGAGGGCATCCTTGTCTAGTGCAGGATTTCAAAGGGAATGCTTCCAGTTTTTGCTCATTCAGTATGATATTGGCTGTTGGTTTGTCGTAAATAGCTTTTATTACTTTGAGATACGTTCCATTGATACCGAGTTTATTGAGGGTTTTTAGCATAAAGAGCTGTTGAATTTTGTCAAATGCCTTCTCTGCATCAATTGAGATAATCATGTGGTTTTGTTTTTGGTTCTGTTTATGTGATGAATTACGTTTATAGACTTGCGTATGTTGAACCAGCCTTGCATCCCCGGGATAAATCCTACTTGATCTTGATGGACAAGTTTTTTGATTTGCTGTTGCAATCGGCTTGTCAATATTTTATTGAAGATTTTTGCATCTATGTTCATCATGGATATTGGCCTGAAGTTTTCTTTTCTTGTTGGGTCTCTGCTGGGTTTTGGTATCAGGATGATATTGGTCTCATAAAATGATTTGGGAAGGATTCACTCTTTTTGGATTATTTGGAATAGTTTCAGAAGGAATGGTACCAGCTCCTCTTTGTGTGTCTGGTAGAATTCGGCTGTGAACCCATCTGGACCTGGGCTTTTTTTGGGTGCTAGGCTCTTAATTGCTGCCTCAACTTCTGACCTTGTTATTGGTCTATTCATAGTTTCAGCTTCCTCCTGGTTTAGGCTTGGGAGGACACAGGAGTCCAGGAATTTATCCATTTCTTCCAGGTTTACTAGTTTATGTGCATAGAGTTGTTTGTAATATTCTCTGATGATGGTTTGAATTTCTGTGGAATCTGTGGTGATTTCCCCTTTATCATTTTTTATTGCATCTATCTGGTTGTTCTCTCTTTTATTTTTAATCAATCTGGCTAGTGGTCTGTCTATTTTGTTGATCTTTTCAAAAAACCAGCTCTTGGATTTATTGATTTTTTTGAAGGGTTTTTTGTGTCTCTATCTCCTTCAATTCAGCTCTGATCTTAGTTAT